TTTCAGGAGCCAGGCCAACCATGACCATGCTGCTGGAGGCTGGGAATGGTGGGATGGCAGATTTGGCAACTGATCAGAGGACTCAAACATGGCAGCCATGAATGGGAGAGTGGAGTTTATAAAGATGGAGAGTGACCAGGATCAGCCTTGGGAAAACCAGAGTGGTGGGGCACTGTGTCCCTTGAGTAATTGTCACTTTTCCAGGAGCTATTGCTGCACACACCAAGGACCCAGGTCAGGTGGCACCTATAGTAGTCAGGGGTGGCCACAAATGAGCTACTAGAAAGGAAGACTGTCATGCTTCAAGGCCAGGGACCAAGGCTGTGGAGTCATCTTCTGGGGAGGCAGCAGGAGGCCACTTCTCTACAGACATGCATACAGATACCTTTGGTTGGTTGGTTTATTTTTTGAGACAGGGTCTCATCCTGTAAATTGACTGGCCTGGAATTTGCTATATAGACCAGACTGGTCTTGAACTCACAGAGATCTGCTTGTATTTTGGCCTTGGCTGTCTTGGAACTCACAGAGCGTATAAGACAAGTTGGCCTAAACTCAGAAATCTGTCTGCCTTTGCCTCTTGAGTGATGGGACTAAAGGTGTACAACACCAAGCTGAAGTGGTTTTTTGGTTTTTGTTTGTTTTTGTTTTGTTTTGTTTTTTAAACAGTCTCACTATGTAGCCCTGGCTAGCCACAGATGCCTTTTAAAAATTGCTTTTAATGTGTATTTGGTGTGTATGCATGGAAGTAGCTTTGGAACTGGGTAATGGATGGATCTGGGAGGGTTAGAGGAACTGGCTAGAAAATGCCTTGATTTCCATCCATGGGTTATTAGGGATTAGGGAGGGTACAGAAGACAGCCCTAGAAATGTGCTTTTGATGTCTGACTTCTGGCCATGGTGTTCATTTCACAGCATGCAGCAGACAGTAAAGTGTCCTGGATGTTACAGGGGCAAAAACAGTGCAGACTGGCCGTTGGCACAATACCTAGTAGAATCTTGGAAGCAGGGCTTCCAAAGCTGTGGGGCTTCCAGGTGCAACTCCTGCTTAGGAGAACTGAAGCCAAGAGACCTGCTGTGAGCTGCTGAGGCTAACTCCTACAATGCCCCACCAGCCAGCAGTACTATTCTGTCTCATCCAAATTCATATGTTGAAATGTCTCCAGTTAAGCAGTATTTGGAGGAGACTGGATCATGAAAATAGAATCTTTGTGGGCCTGGTAAAGTGCATCTACCCTTCCACCATGTGAGGTCTGTCAGAGGAAACAGCTCTCACCAGGCACCGAGTCTACAACACTGGTCTTATACTTGCAGCCTCTAGAACTGTGAGAGATAAACTATGTTGCCTATGAGCCACTCAGGCTGTGTTATTTTCTTAAAAAAAAAAATGGGGTAGACTAAGACATAGGACTACTTGGTCTTAAATAAAAAGCTTAGAAGTTTGATATTTGCTTGGTGACACAGGCTGTGATTTGACGCGGTAGATTTTTTTCTGGGCACTGTAGAAGGGTATGTCTTGCAGGTGGGCAGGATATTCGGCACAGACCTGTCCCATGCAGTTAGTTCATTGTAAGAAGCTGAATTCCACACCCTACACTACCCCCAGAGAATGGAAAATGGGGTCCTTAGAATGGAAATCAAAGTCATCAAAGTAGTTCCTAATGCACCCATGACCCAATGTCTTTGTGTGTGTTTCTAATATATAAATATATCAATTTATTTATTAATATTATAACTTTATTAATAAATTGTATATTAAAGGAGCTTTTAACATAGACACACATAGCAATGTGACAGGATATAGGAAAAAGACACCTGCGGACAGAAAACAGGAGTACTGCTGCCACAAACCAAGATTGGTTCAAGTCCCCAGGATCCAAGAAAGGCAAGGACAACCCTCTTGGCCCTGTTGACCTCCAAAGCCAAGAGTCCTATTATTTATTGCCCTGGGGGTGTTCTTTGCAGCAGGTGGGTGTCACTAGGATGCCTCACAGCCCTGGGCTGCTTTAGTTTTCCCTCCCTCTGAGGCACTTGCTAAAGGCCCCTCCATGGAGCATGTTCCCTACAGCACTGCTTCTCCCGTATGCTGACTTTGATGGCACTGAGATGGTAGCTCTGACCTGGGTTCTGGGGTGACAGAACCTAGCTGTGCTGGCAGACTTTTGGAAGGCACACAGGCTTGCTGTCAGGCCTTGCAGCAGAGGTGGATCACAGTTTTTATTCAGACTTCATTTTGATCTGTGTGTGGTGGTACATACCTACCATCCCATCTCTTGGGCCGCAGCAAAAGAACCTCAAGTTTGAGGCTAGCCTGGGCTATGTAGTGATACCCTGTTACAAAATTACAAAAAAGTTACAAAATTACAAAAACTAAAAATTCTTTTTTATATTATTTTTGATATTCTTGGATTTTATGTTCCACTGGTTCTCTGGTTTTTTTTTGTTTGTTTGTTTGTTTTTTGTTTTACATATACTGGAATGATTATTTGAACATTTTAGTGTTTTGCTTTAGTTTTTTATAATTTTAACTTTATCTCTTTGTATATTAGTTTTAGTATTCTAAAGGTGATTTAAGAAAATACACTTTAGGACTAGAGAGATGGCTCAAAGGTTAAGAGCATTGGCTGCTCTTCCAGAGGTCCTGAGTTCAATTCCCAGCACCCACATGGTGGCTCACAACCATCTATAATGAGATCTGGTGCCCTCTTCTGGCGTGCAGGTGCACATGCAGACAGAACATTGTGTGCATAATAAATAAATCTAAAAATAAATAAACTTTAGGACCAATGAGAAGGCTCATTAGGTAAAGGTGCTTGCTGCCAAGACTGATGGCCTGAGTCTGATCCTTAAAACCTATATGGTGAAAGAGAACCAACTCCTGCAAGTTGTCTTTTGGCCCCCAAAGTGCTGTCAGGTAGCCCCAAAACTTTAAGAAAAAATAAATACTAAGTTTTATGTGGTCTGCTTGGAGTTGTTAAACTTTAATTGAAATGTAGAAGTTCCACGATGTGTTCACCTCCACCAGCAGATGTTAGAATTTTTTCACATCTCTGAGCTTTCTTCTCAGGCCTCTCATTTGGCCATTTAGCCACATACATGGAGTTCTAGTCACCTAGATGCCCTGCCCTTCCTAGACTGAACCACAGTAGAGTTCATATTGCAAGAGGACAGAGGGGGAAACTGTAGCCTCAAGACAATGCAGCAGTCTCCTACCACCATCAGACTGCCCAAAAGAGACAGCACAAACGCAGGGCACTTCCATGCAGCTCACTTGACATCAGTGCTTAGGGCTGTTCTTTGGGCCCTGGTGCTCAATCCAGACTCCAGCTGCATGAAGTCAGGCCCTGAATGCCAAGGGTTGGTGTGCAGAGTGAACACTGGCTGCTAATGGACTGCCTCCTGCCCTGCACGTCTCCAGGTTCTCAATTGCTGTAGCCACATCTGTGACGCTGGAGCCCCAAGTGCCTCTCTGATTACTCCAGAACCAGACCATCTCCCCAGAAGTCCTTGCTGGGTTGCTTTTCACAGTAATGTGTGCAACATGCCAAAGTAAACACTAAATCTCTCACCACAGCTGCTGGAGGTGTGGTCTGAGCATCTCTTTTAAGTTTTCATTCTATTTTTATTTTGTACATATGGGGCCATACACACAAAGGCAGGCCTTTCAGTATGTGGGCCCTGAGGAGCAAAGTCAGATGACTTGGTGGCAGGCTCCCTTCCTTCCTAAGCCTTCTTGCCTGCCCCATGTCATGTCTACTTTATTCTCTACCAACTTTCCATATGCTGAGTCTCCTCCTTGACAAGTAAAACCCAACCTTTTACTGTTTTTATTTTAATCAGACAAATCAAAAGTCCTTCCCAGGATGTTGCTGCTACTTCTCAGAAGTATATTTGCACTCGACTTGGGCTACTCTCTAGGGCAAGAACAGCATTTTATGGGCTCTGAATTCCTAGTTTCAGGCTCATCTTGTGTAGAATGGCCAGCATTGTTATTCTGCTATGGTAGGGAAGGAAACCAGGCTTAAACTGTGTCAGGCAGGTGCTCCACACTGAGCCACAGCCCAGACTCCACATAATTGTTTCTTTCTCATTGCCTCCAAAGGCCCCTGGTGCTTTTGCTTCCTGCCCCTTTGGCACTGCTACTCAAGCTGATGGATGCTCATTGCATCTGGCCCTCCATCAGGAACAGGGCACAAAACAGGCCTGGCTTCTCAGTGCCGTATGTGCCTAGTGTCCGGTTCCATGCCCTTGACACAGCCAGTATGACTCCCACCAGAAGGATGGGAGGTAATCCCTGCTCACTTGCTACCTTGGACCTGGGAGGACACTTGCCTTGTTCACTCAGTCTCCTGGATAAGCTCTGATCTTGGTAGGAGGGCTTTTAAATGAGATACCAGTGTGTAACAGGCTGCTCACCCAGCTCACTCTGGGGGCTGGCTCTGTCAGAGCCCCAAATCCTCCTCCCTACTGCCACCATCACATGGAACCTTTAACTGGCTAAGATAGATGATGTGAGTTCCAGGATGGCCTAGAGCTACCCTTCTGCACTCTGGGGCCTCGCACATTCTCGGCATTTTGTGTTATGGTGGCACTGGGACTTGAACCCAAGTCATGACAGGCAACACTATTACCACTAACCAACTTTCTCCAAACCAGGGTCTAACCAAGTTGCCTAGATCAACTTTGAACTTGTTCTATAGTCCACTTCCCTATCCTCCTGCCTCTGTCCCCCAAGGAGCAAGGTCCATGCCACTACACCCTGCTCTGGGGACTCTCCTGAGGATGTTGTAGATTTGTGTTAAGTTTAAGGCCTACCCTCTTTCAGGTGCTGTACTATGTTGTCCATCTTCCTGCACCCATTAGCACTCAACACAGCCATAAATAGGCATCCCTGAACCAGTACTTACTCTTCAGCCTCCTGGAGGACCCGAGGCAGACATCGTCAGGATGATGTTAGCCAGCAAGGCCTGGGGACCCTCCTTATAAACAGACGAGATGGCATGTACTGGTGCCAACTGTTTATTCAGGTCCAAACAGTTAATGAGTGCAGCATGCAGCACCCATAGTCAACTGCAGGCCACTCCATCAGTAGCACAAACCAAATTACCAGAGACCAGAGCTGGCCTGTCACCCAGGGTACACTCAAGACATCCAAGGCTATGGGTTCTGCTGAGCATAAAAGGTACCCAGGCAGAGGCCAGCTTGGAGCTCTGTGAGTTGTCAACCCAGGGGAGGAAGGTAGGTGAAGAACAGGTCCCATGTAACCCAAGCTGGCCAAGAGTCTGACATGGGATCTCTGGTGCTGCCAACAAGGGCTACCCTAGTGCTAAGCCTGATGGCTGAGTAAGCAGGTTTTGTTTGTGTTTGTGTTTGTGTGTGTGTGTGTGTGTGTGTGTGTGTGTGTGTGTGTGTGTTGGGGTCAGACTACCCCTTCTAAGGCATCACTGCTATGAGCTACTCCATCCCAGTGCAGTAAAGAACTACTGTACATCCCAGTGCAGTAAAGAACCACAGGGTATCTTTCCCCAGTGGGTCCCAATGGCTCAAATCACTGAAGCCTTCAGCGCTTATGGCTGGCAAACCAGGAGAAGAAGGGGCGTGGGCGTGGGCGTGGGCGTGGGGCCTGGAGGACACGAACAATTCGTGGTGAGCGCCAGGCTTTGATAGTGGCATCATCGCTGGCTGTCAATAAGAGCTCCTGTTCTTGGGGGCTAAAGGCCACTGAGTTGACCACATCTTCGTGCCGCAGCTTGGCTAAGCAGATGTTGTAGTGGCGGTCCCAGATATAGCCATGCCGATCTTCAGCCCCACTGCGGGATAGCATCTGGATGAGCCCACACCCACCTGCTGAAGCCCGTACCCAAGCCCGGGGGTCCACCTGAGCCCACACCTGGCCACAAAATCCTTGCTGACATCCAAGAAGATGAAGAAGCACTCATCATTGGGTGTGTAGGCACGGTGCGCTCGCAGAGCCCGCTTCACCTCCCGCATGGTCTTGAGATCGAACACTAGCAGGTCAATCTCCTCTGCAATGGGTGGTGGCTGCATAGGGTCAGCTACCACTGAGCCAGGGGGCCAGGCACGGCTATTCACATACAAGTACCTGAGCCAGGGACACATGTTAGGTACAAGCATGCTTTCAGATACAGGGCCATCTATGGTGCCCCACCTAACATACCAGGCCCACCTGTTATCAGGAGACAGGCCCATGCCAATGATGTGCCCATGCACATCTATGACATGGTCCAGTGCGTCAAAGAAGGCATCAGAACCCCGGCCCTCGCCCAGCACGGGCCCTGCTGTAGTCATCTGGTGCGGCAGGATCTGCTTGATGCCTACATGGAGACCAGGGTGAGGAGTCATCCAGAGCCTGCAAGGACATCACCACCAGGGCACTCCCAATCCAAGAACATCTCTAAGGGGTCCACAAACACTGTCTACACTTAGACTCAAGCACAGTTGCCCACCTGGACAGTTGCCAACCAGTCCCCCTGCCTGGGTTTTCACCACTCTTACACAGGACCAAGTGTGCCAGGGCCAGAGTGGTCTCCCAATGCACAGTCCAAGCTTTGCCTACGGACTTGCTGGTCTGGGGAGTACCACAGTGGTTGTTGACCCTCCCAGGCCCAGCCCTGCCCTGCCCACCATTACCGATCTGATGTGGTGAATAGGTGAGGCAGCCAGTGGTGAAGATGAGGTACTTGTTCCTGGGGGAATGACACTCTGGGGGCTTGGTGTGGCCTTGGGCCAGCAGCTCAGCCACCTTGGTCTCCAGAGCACAATCTGACAGCTGTGCATGTCCATCCAACACACTATCCAACATGCGCCGTAAACCTTCCTTGACATGGCCAGAACCAGAGGCGTGCAGACCTGGGTCAGTGGCCTCTTCCTCACTGTCCCCACCGAGGTCAAAGACTCGGCAGGGGAGCCCAGCCTGGTTGCCAGCATCCAGCAGTAGGTCTGGGCTATCAAAGCGGCTGCAGTCAGCCACCATCACTGTGCGGATAGTGCTGGCATTGAGGTTCTGGATCTTAAAGAGCCGTTTTACCACGTTGACATTTTCTGACTCCACATTCTGTGTGAGACACAAGCCAAGGCCTAGAACAGGTGGGTGCTGGCCACAGAGCCAGGCCTGGGAAACAGCCTATGCTGGGCCCTGCATCTGCCCTTCCATAGACAGCCCTGCCCACACCTTCTTCTCTATTTCCCGGCCCAAACCCACCCATCTGCCCAGCCTGACCCTGCCCCAGTCTGAACCTGGAAGGCATTGTTGAGCCACAGCACTGAGCAGGAGGTGATATCTCCAATGCGGTGCAGGTTCCCCGAAATGAGGCTGGTTTCTGTGAGCCAGCAGCCAAACACATCGTAGGGCTTGTTTCGCACACGGGACAGCAGGGCAAAGGAGTCTGGGAGAAAGGCCACAGCTTCGAAGGCTGCTGACAGGGCACAATGGGACAGGCAGCCCAACCCAACACCCACACTCACCTAGGCTGATGACAGCTATCTCGCCTGAGGAAGAATTATGTGGCCCAAGGAATACCCCTGAGGCCAGCAGCAGTGAGTCATCTTGGTTGAACTGGGAGAATTGGGTGTAGCTCCAGTTGTATGGCCTCATATCTGCACTGTGCAGCAGCGAGATGGTCAGGTCGTTGTTCCAGATCTGTACCAGAGAGGCTGCAGGGTAATTATCAACCAGGAAGTCCTGACTATTCTCCATTGAGGGTGCTGAGTCTCATTTCTTAGGCCTTTACCACCTACTCTCAGCATATCCTAGCAATGCACAGGGTTGGCCCTTGGAGCTAGAGGTTAGAGCTGTTATTAGCTTTGGGTCTTATGTGGTCCAGATCAGGCTTTCAGGCCCTTTATGGCCCTCTCTGCTTCTCTCACTACTGGCTTCTCTTCCCACTAAGTTCTGCTGCATGGGAGAAGCACCCTCACCTTCACTGTGCAGTCCTTGGAGCAGGAGGCAAACTGGTACCCCGAGTGGGAGAAGCTGAGGTGCAGGACCTGGTCGGTGTGCTCCTTCAGTGTCTGCACCTCCACACAGGGTACCATGTCATAGAGCCGCCGGAACTCCTCATACCAGGATGTGGCCGCTGTGGGCAATATAGTGTCACTCCTGCATGCAAGCCTCCCTCACTGGTAAAGACCAAGAGTTGACAGCATGGCTACCAGGAGCTGTTCCAGGGCCTCTGGAACCCACTACTCACTAATTAGGTCTCAACTACAGGGTGCACCTTTGTGCTCACAGACTCCCTCTTCCCAATATGGCCCATGTATGAGGCCCTTGAACCATGAGCTCCTGCCCAGAGGCCAGTAGATTTCAGCGTGTGTGTGGATACTGACCTGGGTGGCGGGGCACATCTCGAGCCACCTGGTAGTAGCGGTAGAACTGCTCCCTCCATAAGAATTCGTCCCGGGATACAGCCTGCCATTGGCGGCATACCAGCCCAGCAGCAAGCACATCTGCAGGGCCTAGGCTCAGGAAGATCTGGTAGACAAGGCTGTCGGGGAGCAGGGGCATGCCCCCCTCATCCATTGTGACATTCTGCCTGGATGGTCCTGAAACCCACCAGTGGCTGCTCTGAGCCCAGGCTTCCTCACCCTCAATCCCAGGGAGAAATTGAGGGTCTGGGGCCCCACACATGGCAGTTCTGGGTATTCCTCCAGCCCCACCAACTGCCGAGCTGAGAATTCCACTGCACTGAGCATGTGCTGGGGGGAGGGAGGTTATCAGTAGCACTGTCCCATCACAGACAATAATGTTATACCTCACATTCTCCAGGGGCAGAAGATGCTTGCTAGACCAGATAGCAAGCATATCAGTATTACTAGGATAGGTTCAACCTGAGGAGTGGGAAGTGGCCCCACCTTCATACCTTACAGGTTGGGGCCGTTGACACCTTCCCCATGCTCCACAGCCCAGGGAGCACCAAGGCAGGCCAACAAGTCTGGGCTGCCCAAACCGGCTGGTCCAAGTTCTAGCAAGTTCTAGAGACCACCTGACAGGTACAACACTGTCTTTGACCTTACTGCCACAAGACTTCAAGCCAGGGCTGACTTTCTTCTGAGAAGGCCAGTGGCCTTCCTAATGGCCAGTGGTCTCAGGAGAGAGCCTGGCCAGGTGGATGGTAGGGGGGGGGGGGTTCTGAATGTCAGAGCAGACAGCATTAGACCACACCTTGCTTCTTAGCTACACTGGGCAGCAGCTCCTTCATTCCGCGGGCGGCCTAGGATGGTGACAACCTCCCAGGGCCATCACTGGCCAGATAAGGCCACCAAAATCTGTACAAAAGTAGACATTGCAGAAAAACACCTGGTGACCGTGGACAAAGCTCGTGAAGGTGGCAAAGGCCAGTGAAAGTAGGACAAGTCAGGGCTGAGGCCCACGACTGGGGCGGCAGTTGGGGGGGACCAGGCCCGAGAAAATAAACGAAAGCTAGTACCGAGGTCAAGGGAAAGAAGTCCTGACGGCAGTACTGGGCATTATGAAACACAAGGAAGAGGACAGGGGACAGGGCAGATAACACAGATGAGCACCGCGGGGCCAAAGCAGGGACTCACCGCGGTGCCTCCGCCCGCTGCGCCGCGCCCCGCTTCCGCCGCCGCCGCTCTAGCTTCCGCCTCCGCGTCTTTACGGAGGAGCCAGGCTTGACGCCGAGAGCCCTGAGACATCGATAGCCGCCCCTCTTGCGCCTGCGCCTCGGGCTCTGACTCTCGGCCGAGTTTCTTTATGCGCCTGCGCGCGCTCTTACTCTCCGGCTCGTGCTGGTACTTGCTCCTGACGAACTTAAAAGAAGGCAGTAATGGGCTAGGCACAGCTGGGCGCGTTCGAGACTCGGCCTTGGCTCTATCCGCTGCTGGGCTTTGAACAAACGGCTTTATGGGCTTGTTGTTGTTATGTGTGGGGATAAGACCCTTTGGCCTGCAAAGGGTTAAGCACTGACCTCAAGTGAAAAATGGGTGTAGCAAAGCCAAAGCCAAGCTGCTGTCAGTCGAGGCTAGGTTCTAGAATGGACCCTGGCTTGGGGTAGGAATTCAATAAGCGGAAGGCAGATGTGGACTTCCTGGACTGTGTTTCCTGTGGTACTGGACAGTGGACTCTGAGCTGGCACAGTGCAAGACCTCCACCTCCCTGTCGTCACCTTCTGTCCCTAACAGGGCTGTCATGCTGTCCCTTGAGGCTGTGTTCTTTACCCTGCTCTTGACAGCCAGTTCGCTGGGCCAAAGGGCTCAAAAGCCCTCTGGATCTATGTCCCCAATCAGCACCATCCAGGCCCAGGCCAATTTCGATGTTCAGCAGGTAAAAGCTGGGAGCGAGTGGGGTATGGGAAAGTAAGAACCTGCCTAGCTTGGCGGGATTGGCCCAGGGTGCCCCATTCCCTCAGTCCTGAGCCCTCCTAGTCAACTCCCAGTTTGCAGGAACATGGCTTCTCGTGGCTGTGGGCTCTGCATGCCGCTTTCTTCAGGAGCAAGGATACCGGGCTGAGGCCACCACATTGCACACAGCTCCCCAGGGTGCAGCTATGGCTGTCAGCACCTTCCGGAAACTGTGAGTCCCAGTGTTGCCTCCACCTTCACCCCAGCTCATGCCCTGCCTTATCCTGTCCTCCTATCCTTACCCCAGCTTTTCTGTGGCCTGGATAGATACTCCATATGGCCCCACCTGGGTTAGAGCCTGGGAGCCTTCTCTTATGGAATGCCTTCTTCCCTCCTCAGAGATGGGATATGTTGGCAGATACGGCAACTCTTTGGAGTCACAGGGGTCCCTGGACGCTTCTTACTCCAAGGTGAGGCAAGGGACACAAGAGGGTTTGGAGCTGGAGGCAGCAGGTAAGGGACTAACATGCTGCTACTATGGTCTGCTTCAGCCCCAGGGCTCCGTGGTCCAGTGCATGTGGTTGTTGCTGAGACCGACTACCAGAGCTTTGCCGTTCTGTATCTGGAGCAGGCAAGGAAGCTATCTGTGAAACTTTATGGTGTGTGCTAGTCCTGCATCCACACATGACCTTGTGCTTTGCATCCTGATGGGTGACCCTCCCCATTCCCTTTCTATCCCCATACTCTCAGTAGCAGGAACCCTAGGAGGAGCCTACACATGGGCTGATGTGGGGATTAGATGGGGCAGGGACCTGGCTGTGTCCTGGCTCTCATGCCCTGTTGAAACCACCAGAACTCTGTCTATCCCATAGCCCGCTCACTGCCTGTGAGTGACTCTGCCCTGAATGTGTTTGAACAGCGAGTCAGGGGAGCCAACCTGACAGAAGACCAGATCTTTTTCTTTCCCAAGTATGGTGAGTGTCCCTAGCCCAGGCAGCCTCCTGCTGGCACGCTGCCCTCTCTTACTACTGCCTGGGCCCCTAGGTTTCTGCAAGACTTCAGACCAGTTCCACATCCTGAACGGTGAGTGGCCGGCAGGGCACAGCAATAAAGGCTGAGGTCAAGGTCCTTCCTGCCCCTGCTAAAGTCTTTTTTTTTTTTTTTGGTCTGCTGCAGAGATACAGAGATAAGGCCATCAGGTGGAGAAGCTGTGGACAGTGGACTGCCCTTAGAGAATTCTGAGCACCCTGAACAAACTCTTGAAATTTCTTCTATCTGTCCCCAGAATCACCCCTTCATACTCTGTTGTCCTGGAGCTTTTTTAGTAAACAGTAGTAGACTTGGCCCTTGGTCTTTTCTGTCAACCTGGACATGAGTTCCACTATGCTCAGGTGGGAAGGGAACTAGATTCCCCTGATTCTTTGAGGACTCTGTCCTAGGGAGGTGGGGCTAGAAAGAGTTTTGATGCATAGAAACGCTCAGTCCTGGCTCTCTCCCTGAGCCTTTTCCCCCTTTGCAATGAAGGCTGACTCAGTGGTACCTTCCTCCCCAACTCCAGCCCACTGTGCTGGCTTAGTCCCCATGGGGGTGGGACTCCTGGTCCTGCCTAGGGTACCTTCCCTAAGAAGGGCATAGGCCTTCCAATAAGCCCTCTAGGCCCCTCCTGACCCTTGACCCTGGAGGCTAAAGAGCTGTATGCCAAGGGGCACTTGCTGGGGAGATACCAGGATAGGTTTGAGGGGGCAGTCGGAACACAGAATAGAAAGCTGTACCCCAGGAGCAGGAACAGGCAGACTACTTCATGAAACAGGGCTGAGCATGGGGCTCTTGACATGTAGAACTTCTGATACAGCTGCCCCCAGCAACCTCTAACCAGAGTCTAGTCAAGGTTATCAGCTATAGGAAACAGGAAGGAAGCTGTGCACATCCCTGTAAGGGAAGAGTTGGGCCTTTTTCCCAGAAAGGAGCAGTATTCTTTCTAGACCTGGGATGGTTTGCTTGGCTTTGCAAGTTAGGGCTGGAGTTCAGGAAACTGGGCACCATCCCAAACCGGTCTGCTCCTGCCTCAGATATTGCATTGCTGGTGGCCTCATGACTTCACATATTTCTCAAGTGCCCCAAGCCCTGGGGACACAAAATGGCCAAGTGTTTGCTCGTCCTGGGAGCCTAAAGTCTAGGCTCAGCTGTCTACTTGACAGGAAGGCAAAGATGCTCTAACTTCTTGGCTTCCCAGTATGCCATATCCTCCTCTCTAGCAGTCCCAGGACACCCCAAGTGAGCTATAGCAGGACTGCTGTGTGATTCCTGGAGCAAAGTTAGGAGAAGCCTTGTCTGCTGGCAAATTTTGGAGGAATGAGAGCTGCAACAATAAGGGTAGACGGCTGCTCTTGAGGCCACAGCTGGCCCAGAGGAGGCTCTGTGTAGCTGTGCTTTGTGGGGGCAGGAAAATAAACTGGATGAAAAGTGAACCACCAGGGGCTATGGAAGAAGGAAATTCTGGAGACTATCCTAGTCATAAGAATAGAGCTCACAGAAACACCTTGGTCTTGTGGGGCCCAGCCTTGACCTCACTGCTCTAGCCCCAGGAATACTTTTTCCTTTTTGTCTTGTGTTTCCTAACAGAAAGTGATGGTCTCACTCTGTTAGGTTGGGTTCACATGGCCACAGCCTAGCCCTCTGGATCTCTGCCTTGTTGCCTTGTGGGTCTGAATGGGCTGAGCATGGACCATGCAGCCATTAATTAGCTTTTGCGCCAATCTGAGAACACGGAGCTCTAGTATTGACATACATTTTAGTTTCACGAAAGTTTTAAAAGCTCCAGTTACATTAGAAAATTTTAGGTAGAGCAATACTCTGTGTGTGTGTGTGTGTGTGAGAGAGAGAGAGAGAGAGAGAGAGAGAGAGAGAGAGAGAGAGATATCTTGGTTGGGGGATGCTTGCAGAGACCAGAGGGCAACTTGCAGGAGTTGGTTCTCCTTCCACCTTTAATTATGCCGTCTTCGAATAGCCATTTGTTTGAGCTCTATGATGTTAGACTCCCTTGGTTCTAAAAGTCTCCCTACCCCCTATCTGGGTGACCCTAGGTCTTGTAAGAAGCATTACATAGCCCTCAGGGCAGATTACAGGTTAGACTCTTTCCTGATAAAGAAACTGGTCCAACAAGCATCTGGGAATTCCTAGAAATATGTCACCCTGCTAAGAATCTTAGTCTTCAGCAGTGACCTTCGATTGTACTTAGAGATTTTCCCCTCACCCCTAAGATATTTAGGTACTTATATTCTCCTTGTGATAGAATCATGCTTCTGCATGGAAAATGAGGCACTGTACTACACTATGCAAATCAAATATACTTGACCTCCTGACCCCATTGAATCAAACACTGCCCAAAGATTTATAAATCCCTGATTTCAAATAAACGTGCTAATGGCTGAGGTTTCATGCTGTGTGATACCATCAGCCTTCTACCATGGCCATCTGAGATTTATCCCTGGCCAGGCCTCATCTCACCAGGCCTGCCCTCCAGCCCACTGGGCCTGGGCATCAGCCAGGCCTGTGTCTTGGCTGCAGCTTACCAGGCATGGGCTTTTGCCAGCACCTCTGCTGTGCTCAGTACAGGAGTTTAACCAAGAGCTGTAACACTTTTATATTGCCATAGGCTTTGGAACGCCCAAGTTTCCACTGCCACTGGTGATCTAAAAGAACTAAACTGATACACTCTGTGGAAAACCTCTCCACACTCTGACCTAGCACACTTGGGCCTTGCCCTAAAGCACTCTAGCTGACCCTGAAAGAAACAAACCCCTGTTCTCTGTCCTGAAACCAGTTCCAGGACCCCAGTGAATGGAAAACAACATACCTTCATCTGTTGAGCTATTTTAGTGGCCCATGCATATCTTTTTTACACACACACACACACACACACACACACACACACACACACACATATATATATATATATATATCTTGCTGCACAATCATGCAGGCATGAGTTTGGAGTTCCAAAATTAATGTAAAAATCCTGGCATACCTATCCCCCCTTGCTGCACATGCATACTAAAGGGGAGGAGGAGCAGAGACAAGAGGACTATGAAGCTCAATGCATTCTAGCATGGTTCCAGGTTCAGTGAGAACCCCATCTCAGTGAAATGGGCAAAGAGGACCTTCAGTGTCCTCTTGCTTTGCATGCTTGCACACCGGCATACACACGTGTATATATACAATACATATACATATTCATACAAATGTCTCATAATTTGTATGTCACCTTTGAATTCTAATAGGTAATTTATAACATCTAAGAAGAAGACAACTTTAAAAATCTGTACAGGCCAATATGTAACTGACTATCTTGCCTGGGACCACAGGTTTAAAGGATTAGACCTGCAGGTGACTTGTTCTGTCTTGCCTGGACATAAGAGAACTATGCCCCTTCTCGAGGCAGGAACAAGCAGGACCTGCCCTTCCTGTCCATCCAGATGCTGTATGGACAGATAGCTCCCTGCCTATGAAGAGGTCTTACAGCCTGCTTAGGGGCCTCCTGCCACTCTGGACAGTATCCTGGGAAAGAGTTCTGGGGTGGGGGCAATGAGCAGAGGTCAGCACTCAGGAGTCTTCCCAGAGAGTGAAAATAGACCAGAGGGAAGAGGTGGCTTTCTCTGACTGCCCCTGTTGGAAGGAAAGATGAAGGTAACTGAGGAGCACAAAGAGGATAGCAGGCAGACAGAAGGAAGAAAGAGTAGCACAGGGAGGGGTCTGGACAGGGAGGAGGCACAGGGCATAAGGAGGGAAGGCAGGAGGGCCCTGCTTCTAGGGAGACAGGGGTTGTGGGGTGGGCTGGCCTCCACCCTGAGCTGTCATCTTCTCCAAGCCTTGTGTGGGCATCTATGTTGTCGCCTGACCTCTCCCCAATCCTGGTCTTGTAGGAAGCCCTGGTCAGTTTCAGGACACCACACAGGAGTGGGATCCTGTGTTTGCTGGGCACTGTTCCACCAATCACATCAAAGGTGGGAGGAGCTATCCAGCCTCCAGTTCAGGACAACCTTGAGTCAAATAAGTATAACAGCCTCCTAGACCTGGCAAAGAGCACTGCTTAGGGCCCAGTGTCACCATGAGGCTTATCTCTTGAGGCCAAGTCCCCTTTGGGAAGTTTGAGTAGGCCTAGAAAGGCCTGGTCCATCAAGGGCCCTGCTTGGGCTGGGCCTGTAAGGCCTGGTCTGTCCTTTCCCTGTTCTGCAGAAATGACAGTGCAGGGAACAGGCTAGGATGACTCTGAACCCCTTTAGGAAGTCAGACAGGAACCACCTACACAAAGTTTGCACAGCTTTTCTCTTGAGTCAGCAGCCTGTGATCAGGAAGAGCATGGCACCTATCCCTCACAGCCCCTAGTGCTGGGCTCTTACCCAGGATCCTGCTCATATAGCACCTTGCAATTCCAGGCTTTACTCCATTAGGGACCCACTCCCATAGAGCCGCATTCCCACTGGACCTTCTTCCCATGGGGCTCTACTCCTTATAGGGTCCTGATCTTAGAGAATGAGACTCCCAAAGGTCCCATACCCACTGTGCCTGCACTCTTAAGAGTCCCACTCCTACACTGGCCTTCCCCCAGCTCCTCCCCTCTGCATGAAAGGTCACTTTGAAACACCCCCATATTTCTTACCTGGCCTTGATGTTCCTGAGGCCCCTCTCTCTCCCTCATGGATAAGAAGCTGTGCAGACAAGGGATAGTAGTGATCCCTGCCTAGAACAGCTTGTTCTTTGCATGAAAGACAAAGAAGGTGGAAGTGGGCAGATTTCTGACCCACTTGTGGGTCACTTAGAACAGGTATTTGGAGTCACAAGATAGTACCAGCTGTACCCATAAGGCTTCTCTTCCTTGGCTGGGATCCAAGAGACCCTGGCAGGTTGTTTATGGTCTAAGGAGGATCAGCCCTGCCCTCCTTCCACACCCACATGTTCTGCTGCACTCCTCAGGGAGGTATGTTGGCCAGGTGGACTGTGAAGAAACAGGTTTCTGAACAAGCTTCAACAGTAGCCACTACTGTCAGGCTTTGTCCCTCTGGAGCCCCAATGGCTGCTGGGATGGGTCCTTGTTGGGCTCTGTGGCTGATGTTCACCCTACCCCAAATCCCGGAGGGTCAGACTCCAACCATGCCTCGAGGCTTTCCTCAGATGACGAGCTTCCAAAGCAACCAGGTACAGAGCTTTCAAAGAAGAAACAGGGTACAGCTGGCTACAGTCCGGCTTGTGGAGGACGGGTGTATGCAGGCCTGTGGGCAGTACACAGGGAGGCCGTGGCAGAACCTGAGCCCAGAGTCCCTGAGTAGTCCATGAGTCCAGCAGAAAAGGCCCTAGAAGTGCCTGCCTGTACCTCCTGTGTTTACAGTAGCTGCTCCCTCTATGAACAGAGGCAATCAGAAGCTTGGGAAGGTCACTTGGCTATTGACCAAGGCCACCCTCTACTGACCAGATTAAAGGCAAATTCAGGGTTCTGCCAGCATCACTGATGTAGACATGGCCTGCAGCTGCCTATTGAGGAGGGGTCCTAGCTGGCTGTGGGCTGCCTGGGGTAGGGTGGGAAGAGGCTGGCTGTGCCCATCACCAGCCATGCAGTTTCAGGGGGAGTGGTTTGTTCTCGGTTTGGCGGGCAACTCCTACAAGAGAGAGGACCGGGCCTTGCTGAATCCCTTCATCACATTGTTCGAGCTAAAAAACAACAATCAGTTTAAGGTGACCAACTCCATGACTCGGTGAGTGGGGTGTCTCTGCTGTCCAAGCAGCCAAGGACCCAGGGCTGCTTGAGCTTTGCATGGGCCAGCAACACTGTGGGTTGAGGAACCATATCTAGAGACCATGTCTAGCACAGCCTGCTTAATGTCCATTGCCAAAGCCAACTAGTTAATATGACACCCAACCCAGGTGGTGACTCACCCTGGGGCAGAAAACCAATGGGTTTTAGGTTCTCTTGTGTAGTCAGGGATCCCTTTCTCAGGCCCTGTCTTGGTTCTGTGTTACCTTGGTCTCCTGGGCAAGTTCTTGTTTTCTCAGAAACACTTTTTTTTTTTTTTTTTGACATAGCAAGTCCCTGTAGATTTGAGTACCTGTGCTGGGTTGAGCAGGGGTCATTCTTATGGCACTGGGCCAAGCCCCTAGGAAGAGCACAGAGTAGCTTAAAGGACCCTAGAGCTGAAGCCTGGGAAACAGAAGAGGGCTCCAGTTCTCTGCATTCTTCTGGGATGAGTCTCCTCCAAATTAAGAACTGAACTTTGATTATGGGTCCACCAGGGTGGGCCTGGATGGCTTCCTTAGCCTTCTGCCCCAAACCAGCCCCTGCCTGTCCTTTCCCACAGGGGCAAGCACTGCAACACTTGGTCCTATACCCTGATCCCAACAACCAAGCCTGGGAAGTTCATCATGGGCAATAGAGGTGAGAGTGACGTGACTGGGAGGGTCACAGCTGCCTTGGGAACCTGACATATGTGTCCCCCAGGGTCAGGGCCTGAGGCAGACAGAGAAGAAATGCATGTCATAGAGACAGACTATAGCAAGTTCGCCCTGGTGCTGTCCCTCAGACAGACAAGCAGCCAGACCATCACCAGGGTCAGCCTTCTGGGTGAGACCGTGCTTCCTTGGGTCCTGTGCAGAACCCTGCTCAGGGTGGTACTTCCTGGGTTTGGGACAGCTTGGGACCTAATACCTCACTATCACCAAGTGCTGAGAGCCATGCTGTGTTCCTCTGGCCACAGGCAGAAACTGGAGGCTTCCTCATAAGACAATAGACAGGTTCATCTGTCTGACAAGAACAAAAAACCTCACAGAGAATAACTTCGTCTTCCCTGATGTAACTGGTAATGGGGTTGCAGTCAGTCAATGATGGGAAAAGGGGTGGGATCTGTAAGGCAGGGGGGTCTGGGAGACCCTGGGCAATGGTGGCACCTCCCCTAGCCTTCACACGTCCTGTAGCCGGCACTGCAGATCTTCAGGGGACCATTTATGGGTCTTGCAGTCCCAGAGAGTCTGAGGACAAGTGACTGTCCTCAGAGGTTAGCCTGAGTCAGAAGGGCTCATGCTCTTATCTGAGTTCCAGGCTTCCAAGTTCCTTCCTACCCTGTGTCCCTGTCCCAGGCTTCCACTCCCCACACTGATTCTCCTGTTCTGGAACTGTCCTCTCTACTCTGGTTCCCTGATCACAGGAGACTTGAGTTCAGCCCTGAAAGTCTTTGAATATGGACAGCATATTTCTATCAGGAAAGTTCCAGAGAGCCTAAGAGAAAAGGGCTTCAGGGATGAACCCAATCTTCAGTCTCTCTCCTCTCATGGATGGAATCAGGATCCTCAATATCTGCACCATCCAGGGACATTCCCCATCACACTCCTCCAGGATATACCTGTCCAGCCACATTTAAAACCCAAGCATGTGCCCACAAACATCTAGACATTCCTATGCTTGCACACACCTCCTCTCACCTGCATACATTCACTTCACATCCTTGTCATTTCTAGACTGGGTCTTGCTGTATAGTCCAGACTCGTCTGGGATTCGTGATTCTCTTGCTTTAGTTTCCTGAGTGCTGGTATTTTAGGCCTGTGCCACCACACCTGGGTCACATCTCATACAATATGTGCACATGTGATCACATACATGTTTGCACTAACTATAACACTCATTGTGCCACACCACCAAATCTACCACAATTCTAGGATCCTGTAGGGACAGGAAGTGCTATGCAGGAGCTTCTGGAGGAGCCCACAGTGGAGACAGAGAAGCACTCTGAGGGGCATGTCTCCTAGCCCTTTCCCCGGACCCACTTCTGGTCTCATCTCCCTGCCCAACTTTCAATCTGCCTGATTTTTGTTCCTCAGAAGTCTCTCCCTTGCTCTTCTGCCTTATGTACCATCCCAACACTGTCTATCCCCTCCCCATTAGACTGGTTACCTGATCCAAAACTCTGCTGAAGAATGACACGGTTCCTGCCAGTAGAGCCTCATGCTGCCTCTGCTTTCAACACAAATAAACTCACTGCCTATGACTTCAGAATGTGACTACTGTGACAATGGGGTGGGTGAGAAACAAGAACACAAACCCCTGACCCTGCCAGCCATCATGGTCATCCTCTGAGCAACCCCAAACTGGCTTCTCAACCTCCACAACAAGACTCCACAATTCCCCTGACTCTCAGCTATGTGAAATCACAAGCCACACTTGTGCCTCCCAGTGCTCTGAGGCCAAAATGATGGGGTGAAGTAGGCCTAGGGCATGGCCTTGCAGTTCTGAGTCCCAGATGGCAGGCAGAAGCCTTGATGCTGATCCCCCTGGCTGGAAAAGGAACAAGGGCATGTCTCCCTCCTGTGAGATACAGAGATAAAAATGACTCCCATTCTAGGGAAGCCATTCTGAAATAGAGAGGCACAGAGGGTCCAAAGCAATGGACTCAGAACTTAAGCATACCAGCTCCAAATGCACACCAGTAAAGAAGTTGTCAGCACAATGCTCACATTACCTAGTCCATAACAGCAGGCCACTGCTTGGCCCCACCCATACCTAAGCCCTTTTCAGGCCCAATAAACAGGAAAAGTAAGTCATGGTCCAAAGCCATCCACACAGATGACTTCATAGTCTGTGGCCTTAATAGATCATAAATAGCATAGAGATAGCCCACCAGACCTAAACTTTACCCTCCTAGAAATACTCTACTGCACATGAGGGTGGCACAGGGACTGTGGGAGTGTTTAGAATCCCTCTGATGGTACACCTTCCCCATTCGCTTGGGCAGTGGTGTATGTCCTTATGCCTGATTCCTATTGAGCAAAGTGACCAGAAACTAGGCACAGTCTGGAACAGGGCCTGGTTTTGGTAGGTACAGACCTGAACCTTTCCTGATGACACCAATAAGGCCAACTCCCATTCTGGCCTCAAGGGATACCATATGTAGAGCCTTGGGACACAATTCAGCATCCTGTTGTATATCTGACCTCCAAATCAAATTCTCCATGGGAGGCCTGGTCTCCCATGTATTTGTGACCCAGATGTATCCAAGATAGCACCTGTCTTACTGTATGGCTGTATGATTGGCTGGCTGAATGGATAGATGGGTGGATGGGTGGATGACTGGATGATGGTAGATGGGTGAATGGATAAGTGTGTAGATGGACAGATATGTGAATGGATGAACTGGAACCTTGGATGAGAGAGAAAAGAGCACTATCATTCATCACTCCCTCCATCCATTCTGTGGATGCAATGTGATCAGCTGCCTCAAGTTCCTGCTACCATCTTCCTCGCTGTGATGAATGCATTCTAGAACTGTGAGCTATAAACCTTCCCCCTCTTAAGTTGCTTTTCATCAGATATTTTGTCACAGTGATGAGAAAAGTAAATAATATAAGCTCACCAAACACCACAGCAGGCTTAGCCGCCATTTCTTTCTTCAAAACAAAACAAAAAAAAACTTCTTAGTGATTCTTGGTGAGTTTCCCATCATGCACTTCAGTTCCGCTCATCTTATCTCCTCACATTTGCCCTTCATCCTTGCTACCGCCTCCCAAAATAAAACACATACACAAACAGACAAACAAACAAAAAAAAAAAAAACACAAAGCATAGAAAACATGTCATTGTGGAAGCTGTAGTATGTCCCACAGTGTGTCTCATAGCATAGCCCTATGCCCACACATTTTCACTTGTAAATATTCATTACAATGAGTCATTGGTCTGGCTTCTGCAACACCATCAATACTGAACCCTCACCATGCTTCCTCCCAGTTATCCTGTTGTTACCATGTGTCATGGAAATCCTGCTGCTTTGGATTAGCAGGACTGGCGCTTTCATGCATCCCATGATGCAGATTATAGTGGGACTTTCTCAGACCCACAAGCATATGAATAATGATGCAGAGGGTTTTTAATAATTTAAAGCTTGAGCCTTTTAGCTTTGGCAGTGTCCCAACTACTCTAAACTTACGCTGGCTATCTTACCATGAATTGCTGCATAACTAGAACTATACCTTTCTCTGCTCTGCTGCAATTCATCCTGTTCCCTCTGTGTCTGTCCCCTAAGTCTTCTGAGTCACCTTTTTTCCCCAGCATCCCTCTCTCTGCCTAGACGTTCCTCCCCCACTTCCTAATGAGCTGTTGGTTGTCAGACAATAGGCAAGTGAGGAAAGACGAATATTTACAAAATAGAAAACCAACGATGGCCATAGAAATAACAATACCAAGATCCGACTAGTACTTAGCTAGTTTAAACTCTGCCAGTTTAGCAATCAACAATCAAATACATAAAGACACACTTTCACACACACACACAAACACACACACACACACACTGTACCACACATCTTCCCTTTCTAGTCCAATAAAATGGCCTTTTCTCTATCAATAAACTATATACAATAAGAACACTTATGAGAAGCTGGAGAGATAGCTTAATGGTTAAGAGCACTGTCTGCTCTTCCAGGGATTCTGAGTTTAATTCCCAGTAACTACATGGTGTCCTAATGCCCTCTTCTGGCATGCAGGTGTATATGCAGTCACAGCACTCATACACATAAATAAATTAATCTTAAACAAAAGAACAGTTGTGAGAGCTATCAGGTAAGAATTATATTCACAATGTCCAGACCGTTTGTCCTATCTTGGTGAGTCCAAAGTTTTGTACCTAAATTACTTTTCTACCATTAGTCAAGCTTTCACATAAAACATCTTAGACCTGAAAACATTTTCTTAAATCCTAACCAACTTAAATATCTTTTAGTCTTTATAAATTTAACACCTCTTTTGTGAGTTTTTCTTTTCTGAATTTGATAATAAGGAAAACTGTTAAGACTATATCTAGTCTTCAACCACATAGGAGACATGAGAAGGATAAATTTTACCTGAATAAACAATAAGGGCAAAGCAAGCAGCTTCCAAATCTATAAAAATGACCAGGACTAATGGCTACCTGGTCAGTCAACCTGTGTCAGTGCGGCATTCATCTTCATCTGCCAAGCCTAGATGATCTTGACAGACATTTTCATGAAGCATGAATTTTGGAGGACTGTCCTGCCTTGTCTCGGACAAGTTGGGCAACCGACTTTCCAGTATCCTGTTGTCCATAGTTTAGACAGAATACTGTCAACAGTAGAGATAAGCGACAGTTTTGGTTTTTGTTTTTGTTTTTTTCACAGTGGCTAGATTTGCCACATTTGAAGCAAGCTCTTCAGTGTCCATCTTCTTCTTTGGAGTAAAATGGGCATTCTTCTAGAAGCTGACATGTCTCTGTCAGAAAAGCCTTTTATTATTAAAACATCCTAAATGCCATATTTCTCAGATCTCTGTATCTTTTGAGGATCATCTATCTTTCTAAAGTATATCTAAATAGATAAACGTTGTTTGTTTTTAGCTACTTACTTTGAAAATGTAGCAGAAGGCTTAATAAGACTTATTCCAGTAACCAACTACACTAGTCCTAACTTGACTACAAGTACAGTTCTAAACACATTAAAAATTCTGATTATTTATAAGTGATTGACTGCTAACTTGTATTTATTAATTATCCTTAACAGTTTATAATAGTAGCTTTCATATGACTAGAACTTTGCATTAAATATTAAATGAGTTGCATATGTACAATACCTTAAACAAGAATTGAAACATATGTATATATATATATATATATATATATATATATATATATGTTGCTGTTAATTTAATGGCATGATCTAATAATGTTTATTAAAAGCCCTATAATTATTACGGTGGCATATTTAACCCGCTCTCACAATCAATAAAAGACAGACACCTGATAGATTTTAGAATAGCCTTATTTCACCTGGAGCAGGGCAGAGATTAACCTTCTAAACTGCCTTTATCTCCCAGCTCCATCCCAGGCTACCTCCCATCTATAATTCCATTAATTCTTGCTTATTCTTCATCTGGGCCACTTCCTCCATCCATGCCAGCCAAGTGCTTCTCACATGCTAAGCCATGATGGCTCTCTCCTTGTTTACTCTTCCTCTTCTCTCTCCCATGATCCTTCTTGTCCCCAAAGCCTGTGAACTTTGGCCACAAATACCCCATTCTGCCTTGCCCAGGTTTAGGCCTTTTAATCAGCCAATCAGGAATAACTTCTTAGGCAAGGTTACAAAGTCATTTTGAGGTACGTGAGTGTCTGCTCAGAAAATAGGCCTCAAGGAGCAAATTAATTAACAATCAAATACAAAGCATCAGACCATGGTGTTACACATGCACACACACACACACACACAATATTGTAGCAAATATAACCTTATATTTCTCTCAATATACAAAAAATCTATACCAATATAAAATATTTGAGATTTGTTGTTGTATTCTTAGTCTAAAAGGAGATACAGTAATCCATCCTTCTTTTTCCTATCAAGGAGATACAATAATCCATTATTTTTCCTTTCTTTTCTATATCCCCCCTTTTTGTCTTTTCATCCCCTTTTCATCTCCTAACACTAGATAGGAAGAAGGAAGGACAGAGGGGAGAAAGAGAAAGAAAGAAAAAGATCCCTGAATTTAATCTCTTTTACTTTGTTTCTTCCCTGAGCATGACCACTAACAAATTGTAACCAACCCCCTAAAGGATGACAAACATCCATAATCCAAAAACATGACCAAAAAACACCCACCCCACCACTCAGGAATGAGAGTGTTGTGTTCTTTAAATTGCTTCCTGTTGTCTGGGGGCAAAGGCATCTTTTGAAGCCCTAAAATTTGGGAAATTGGCTAATTCCTAGCGGAGCTAGCTGTTTCACTTACTGTCCAGCCTCTGTGGGAAGGAAAGCCAGGGCTTAACTGAAGTCCTGGCTGAAGCAGCCTATCCTGGAAATCTACATCCCTCCCCAAAGTTTTATATATTCTCCTCATCCCCGGAATAAAGTTGATCTGCCTCCCTTTAGCAAATTCCAGATCATTTCATTCCTGCTCCTCCAACTCCTGACCCCCGTTCCCTTTGTCCTCAGGAACCAATGGCCATGATACCTGGGGGTGGGGAGGCAGGGAGACCACAGTAGGAAAGGAAG